TTTTTTTTTCATATAATTAATCAAAATTAGATTATTAATAATTTATTTATTCTTAGGTATCAATCTGATACCAATAAATTGAGCTTAAAATAATATTTTCACTTCTCTTAATTATTTACTTCTAAGACATACCCCCTTGAAAATTTACGATACCCCCCCGGGATAGAAGATCTGAAATAAACACTGATGGTGACTAAGGTAGCACAACTTATTTTATTTTTCTAATTTCAATTTATAATATGTATAATGTATATATTATGTTTTTTTCACTGGTTCTGGGGCCCTCAATACTGTCAGACCCTCTCCCCCCTTTGTGTTCGCCAGCAGAAGTTATATTATAGTTATATATATGGACTCAAGTTTTTAAGTATAAAATATAAAGTATAATATATAGTATATAAAATTTGATAGTCAAAATATGAAATAAAGGCTCAACTAACACTCATCATTTAGTTTAATACTAGTGTCATATTACTGAAGTATATATTTATACCTGTTTATCTAAAGAGTTATTTGGTGAGTGCAAACCATCATCAGATAATCCATACAGGCTTTTGCTGCTACAATTACTTGAAATCGAATCATTCTTTTTATGTTCATAACTGTAAACAAATATCCTTGAGAATAGTTATCAATCATACATTATTTTGATTTAATAATTTATAAGTTTGTGCACATTATACTTAATATACTTTTGTTTCTTTCCTGTTCCTATTATTGAATTTGTACATGATGATGGTATATTATCTGATGGTTCTATTTGACAAGAAATTCTGAATGCTTCTCTATCATCCAAAACTAAAATGGAATGAAACCATTGATCAAATACTGAATCTTCCGTAATGTTATACGAATTTGCTGCCCCCTGAAGAAGCTTAATCTATTACCCAAACAATTAAGATAAACATAATTAAGACAATTACAAATAGTAAAAATAGTTAAATTAAACAGATCTAAAAACTATATACATACTTGAGCTAATACTTCAAACTCTTTTCTTTTTTTATCAAAATTAATTAGACCATCAGGTAAAAGATCGGGAGTTGCAGCATCAATCATGGTCAAATCAGTTAGAAATGTCCCTAAGTATGGTATAGTTCCAATGTTTAACTTCTAAAAATATTTCATTTACTTTATTCAAATATGAAAAAAAGAATAGTTGGGTACTATTTACTATATGTAATACACAATGTAACTCACACTCATTGTACTATGTTGCTTTTGAATAATTTTTTGTAAATGTCTATCATTGTGTCCAAATGTGTCGGCAAATTTTGCTGTACCTTCTCTTATCAATAACTTTCGTTGCGCCCATTGATTATTTTCTTCACTAAATATTCGTGCAAGTTCTTGAAACAATTCCACCTAGGAATTTTTTTTATGTACACAACTTGATTAGAATTATTTTACCTATGTTATTTTATAAATTTAATTTGATCAGTACTACCTTGTCTCGAGGAACCGAATGCCAGGTTTTCTTTAATCTAAATACTGAATTGGATTGTAAGCCAGATATAATTGCTTTTAATGAGGAAAAATTCTTAAGCACTCTTAATTCCTATAAAAATAATAAAGTTAATTTATAAACTTATTAATTTTATCATTACTATACTTGAGCAATGTCAATCCAAGTTTCAATAACATGTGGTCTATCTGAATTGATCGCCAATATCACAGTACTGATAACTCTTAGTGACACAGCGTTGAATTGATCAATTGTAGCGAGGACTGTAGGTGCAGATCCTGCTCTTTTATTCTTAGACCAAACTGCACCTAAACACTGGTGAGCAACCATACTTCTTAAGACATCCTATATAAATTAAATATAGGTTAGAAATGTTGATATAAAGAATGGTAATAAAATATAATAACATACACGGTCCATTCGAGTTAACTGCTCAGCAAAATGCCTTTCTGCTATGTTAGGAAAATTGTAAGGCGAATGTGGAGAATTGGCAATAACTAAGTCATAATCATCACTAATAAATGTAGTAGTGTCTAGAAATTTTTTATAATCAGCATAATATAAGTAAAAAAAATAATAAGTAAATTTAACAAACCTAATTGTTTACATTCTTTAAGGAATCGTTCAAGTCTATACGTTGCTTTTATGTGAAGTTCAGTTTTTGGCAAATATGTAAAAGTAAAGGAGTGTAAACATCGTAAACAAGTGTGTAAAGGTGGATCACGAAAGTCTTCAGGATATGAATCCAGCCAAACATGTAATGCAGATACAACAGTTCTAAAATAATATACAATTTAGTATTTACATTTGTTAATTTTATCATGACAAATATAATGATATGGTTGTATTATAATTGTTATACAATTTATTCAAATAGTTAAACGCTCATTATAAAACCATAGTATATAGTAACCATGTAAAAAAAAGAACAAATATTTTATCATTTCAAATTGAAAAAATAATTAAATAAGATTAGGTAGGTTTATACATTATATAACGGCATTTAAAGTTAAAACAAAAAATTACTTTTTATGTGGATCAATCATTGATTCTGATAAGGCTTCTTTGTTGTTTATTAAATACTCATACCTAAGAAGAATAAAATACAAACATATATGGTTATAATATTACTAATGTTATTATGTACAATATGTACTACAATATAATTTATAAAATATAAAATATGAATTTTATTGTATTATATCAATATAATGGCACTCAAATTCATTAATTCAATCCCTTAAGTGATCTAAAATCCAATACAATTTCCTAACATTTCTTTCATCATAATGTTTACAGGATCTCACATACTAGCTATTTGGATGTGGAAAGATTTAAAACTTATTCAAACTAAAACTACTAATTTTTGTTAAATTCATATTTAAGTTTTAAATATCCAATTAACTTTCTTGAATAACTAGAAAGTATAAACTTCAAAATAAGTATAATAGAATAACGAGATAAATTTATATTTTATTTAAAGAATACAAAAAAAAATGACATAATGAATATGAATAAATTATCTATTTCTTTGGGAAACACTAAAATTAATTTTTTCAATAATTTTAATTTTTAAGAAATTTGTTATTTTTTAATCAATAAATTGGAAGACTGACTGCTTCGACTTCCTTTTTAGGCATTCTAGTATACATACATTTTTATATAATCAGTATAAAATTGCAGAAGTCGTGCTGTCTTGAAAATTATATTTTGAATAATATTATACAGTATGGATCTCAATTTTGAAAAAAAAATGTTATATTTGGTTTAGTTAAATGCACCTAATAAAATTAGGTGTTGTTACAATAGGAAAATGGGGATCAATATATATAGTCAATGTTTCAACCTGCAGCGGTTTTCTCTATAATTTATTGACAGTGATAAAAAAAACTATAGATCACTGATTTTAATATAGAGAATATTACTGCTGGAGGCTAAAGAATGAGCATCGCATTTTTACTGGAAACTAGATACATACTCCCATTTTTATATACATAGATAAATTATGTATTACACATATACTAATAAATACATTTTTACTATTATCAGATAAGATAATCATACAACTTTCATGATTTATTAGCTTATAAAACAAAATATACCTTGTTTAAGAGGACATCACGCCTGTATGTGTTGTCTCTATCTTATAAAAACGTAACACAACAAATTTAAGCTCAGCAGATCATGTTTAATTCTGTTGGTTTAAAAATTAGAGTGAATTGACCAACTATGAAACTTGATTGTTAGAACATTATCTGTATTCCTATGTTTATTTCTTACACAATAGTTCAATTATTCAGCAAGTTATGTGTATATACCACAGTGTAAATTAAAAATGCTCTAACTCACTCAAAAATTGAACAATGAAAAAAAACCAACATAGGTAATGTCCTTACCATCAAGTTCTATAATAGATCAATTCACTCTAATTTTTAAGCTAACAGAAATGTAATCTGCTGACAGTAAATTTGTTATGTTACGCTTTCGTAAGACAGAGGCAACCGATGCGAGTGTGGCGTTTTCTTAAAGAAATATTTATGTAAAACATACTCGTAATACGGAAATCAAATAATATTTATACCTTTCAATTAATAATGACAAAACATGATGTGGTGATGCAAAAGTTCTATAGGTGGCAAGAAATATATTGACAAATGTAGATTCCAATTCGCCGTCATCTGATGCTAAGCTATTAACCAATTTTTCAATTGTTCCGGCTTTAATGAACTTTACTCTGATCGTCTCCCATTCTAAATGCGATCGTTCATCATCAGATTCCTAAAACAAATTCAAGATAATTTATTTATTCGAATATTATAAACCAACAGGTATAAATTAAAAACAAAATATGTATTAGTTTATAAAATAACGTACCAACAGTAGTGTTTTTGTAGGATTTTGATACCGCACTTTTTTTAAATAAATTGTGTAGACAGCACCTTCTTCTCTTTCTTCACCCCATAATTTCCATGTTGGCTGCTACAAATCATAATAATACGTAGATATTAATATTATCAGTAGGTTCAATGATAGATAAAAAGAAAGGGGCTATATGACTTATATTCTTAGAATAGTTATAGAGTGAGAGTATCCATCACAATCTTCTGCAATGCTCTACATTTTATGATCCGAGTTAAATTCCATTTTTTTTAATTTTCAACAATTAATTTAAATAGGCACTCGCACTCTGCATCAACTCATAAAAAAAGTAAGCCCTTGTGGCTTGAATCTTATGCTTATATGTCTGATAAGCAGTCTTTCTCAAAATAAAAATCGGTTCCTGCCAAATCATCACTGACCCGATTGAATAAATTAAAATTAGGATGTCCCACTTTCGAATGATACTTTTCAAGTCTCCTTCACCGGGATTCCCGCTCACGCAAAGGCCATGTCAGTGACGTGGAATAGAATCGTATTATTAAAGAGAATTTCGTCTCAAACTCACCGAGGTTTCGGCATCAAAATTCATACTTGTCCGCCTGCATCATAGTGTTTTGAAAACTAAACCGAATCCTGGTCGTGTTATCTGCACCGCCGTCGGACGGTGACGGGCGCGTGAATCCAGGCACCAGCAGCACGGAGAAGTGACGATTTTTCAATGACGGATTCGAGACAATATTGTTTATGTTGTCAAACGGCGTAGCGCGTCCGTGTCGTTTTTTGTGCGGGCCACTTACGAGCTCGTAGTTACGACGGTCGACGACGACGACGGCGGTGATGGTGATGATGATAAATGATAATAATAATAATAATAATAATAATAACAGTACAATGGCACACACACGCACACAGCTGCTGTTATCAGTTTTGAAAGTCGTTAACAGTAACTCGTTCGAAATTAAAAAAAAAATTATTTTATTATTTTAACAATGTCTTAACAAGAATCGAGAACATAACCGCGGGACGGGCGCGCAACAAGTGCACACAAATATTACACTAAAATGCAACAGGTACGCGAGTGCGGAAAACGAAACGTCGCTGGCTGAACGCCCTGCACACGAACCGGTCTCCGACGACGTTTGAACGACCCATCGTCATCGGTGGCGCTTAAATCGTCGTCGGTGGCTGCGTGTGTATGTATTGTGATATTGCCTACCATTTCACTTTTACTTTATACAGATAAAATATTAAAATGCATTAAATAAATAAAAATACAAACACTGAATTACGGTACAACGCTATTACTGTAATATTTATAATACGTCAATATTAATATATTATTATAATCATTATGATCTATGGAGGCCTGTTTACTCTATGACCATTCACTCGAAATCAGCTTCTACTAGCTTCTACTTTCAACAGTCTTGAACATGTAACACACAATATTCCTCTCAAGCTGTAATGAGCATAATTTAAAAAAAAATATCGAGCATAAACAATAGCTTTTATGAGCGTCTGGAGATATAAACTTTTAGAGCGTATTAATTTCAATGTAAATAAAAAAAATTCAAGAAATAAACATCCTTTTTATTTATCAATTATTAAAACTAATTACATGTCATACTACCCTGCTATTATATTAATGTCATGTGGTAACTTTTTTAACAACTTGGACCTTTTCAATATGACTCTTACCTCGTTAAATTGTTATTTTTAGATTATTACCTACAATTATATTTAATTTAATCGAATAGTTATATAATAAATTGTCTAACTTTTAATTTTTTTATATATACATATTATATTTCTTTTTTTTTTCTCTCGTTCTTATATCATTTGTTTTAATTTTTAGTATAACACACACCTATGTAACTGTCATTATTTTTATTATTGTAAATTGGAATTTTATTCCGTTAATAAAATATTATTATTATTATGATTATTATAACTTTGACAAAATTTGTCAAATTTGCGAACATTTTCAAATTATTAGTAGTAAAAATTTATAAAAATTGTATTCTAAATATAATCCAAGATTCCTTATAAGTTTTTATTGTAGTAATTTAAAAATAATTAAGATGCCTAGGCAACAATTTATTTTATAAGCATTTTGAGTTTATAATTTAAATTTTGACAAACTTCGTCAAAATCATTAATTTGCGAAATCACACAGTTCATATTTTGTGCTTAAAATATTGTAAAATGTTTAATTTTTCCAACTTTTATTTTGATTTTTCTGATTATTTTTAAAATTACTGAAAATAGTGAAAATGTTAAATTTTATTTTACATCTACACTTAGATACCATCGAGTACCGACCACCCTCAAAGGAATTTTTCGACTATATAATATTATCATAGGTACCTTGAAAAGACTTGCATCATTGTAAAATCAATACATTCATTGCTACGCTCAGGATCTAAAATTAATTAAACAAAATAAAATATAACAATAATAAAATAATATAATATCTTTTAGTTTTTTCGTATGTCCTTTATTATAGATATTTTTTTAATAAGTCATATTATTTTTCACTTCAATGTTTATTTTACTCGAACTAGTACCTTGTTAGTGAACAGCTTATATGTATATTTTAGTAAACAATTTCACATTATCTGTTTGAAATGTGCGTCAATATTCCACACCGATACCTATATAAAATTCAATTAAAATGTACACATACCTACATATTGGTATTTGTTTATTACAACAAAACAAATAATAAATGGCATATAGGCACCTACCTACCAAAATAATAATAATTCTATATTATCTATTGAAAACTGAAATATCCTCTTCAATATATTAGGAAATTTTCTCGAGACGGCTAATTTTGTGACGATTATCGGTGTCAAGTGTCACGAATTGGCAACTTGGAACCGGTGTCTAGTGTCTACACTATATTATTATGGTAAACATTAAACATAATGACGTTATCATTATTCTTTACCTAGTAAAAAATGTCGATTGCATAAAATATTATTATATTTAACTCAAAATTCAAATACTGTAGCCGTTTATAGTATACTTTGCTCCGTATAATAATAATAATTGTATTTAATAGCTTTAAGTAATAACTATATATAGGTATAAAGTATTTTAATATTAACCTTAACCACAGCAAAGCCTCTTCTATTGTTTGTTAGCCAAAGTACAAATATTTTATTTAATAATAGGTATTATCGGTTTTTACAATTTATGAAAAATACAATTTTTGTTTTTAAATAGAAAAGCTTGACAAATTAATACAAGGTTTCACGATGAAAAAAAAAAATATCGAAAATACATAGGGAGTCACCTTGTCAAGATAATTTTTTTAAGCCTTCAAAGTTCAAACATTTAATTAATTCATCAAAATTACAAAACCATGAAAATTGACAAATTATTTTCTAGTTAAAAATTCATAATAATCTTCATTTTCACGGTTTTAATTAAAAACTTTAAGTGATTTTACAAAAAGTTTTGTCAAAGTTTAAATTTAGAAAGCTTATAAAAAAAAATCAGCCTATGTACAAGGTACTTACCTATTTTCTATGCTTTTTAATGTCTAAAAGACAATGTAAGTGGGATCTTGTATTTCATTTTCACTTGAGGTTTTTTTAAACTGTTGATAAAAAAATTGAGCCTCGGCCAAAAAGTTTGAAAATGTAATACAAGATCCCACTTACATTGTCTTTTTAGACATTAAAAAGCATAGAAAATAGGTACTTACCTTGTACATAGGCTGATTTTTTTTTATAAGCTTTCTAAATTTAAGCTTTGACAAAACTTTTTGTAAAATCACTTAAAGTTTTTAATTATTTTCTAGTTAAAAATAAATTTATTAAATGTACTACAAAGTACAAGGTCTCTTATAATAGCTGTTCTAACAAAAACATTATAATCTCAAAAATACAAATACACACATTTTTTATAGGAATTTCAAGTTCAAATATTCTTTAAATGTTATTTTGTTGTAATTCCAAAAATAATAAATATCATTGGTCGGGGCTTGTAAATTTTCACCACTTCTTAAGTATATTATTATTTACTTTACACCTAGAAATTTTCAAAATTTTTAGTTTAATTTAATTTATTTATACCTAAAACGTGCTTATTCACGCCAATTTACAGTACCTACTCACCGATATTGAATTATAAGTTAAATATCAGCTAGGAAGTAATAGTATATGAATTATAATTTATATTATTTTACATGGAATTTGTGTTTGCAAAATTGTATTTAACCTATCGCCTACTATGTATATTATTATTTATTAATAGCAATATATTATAAAACATCCTAAGATGCTTACACTAAATTTTTTCCTGTACGATTTACATAATATGCATTTTATCAATTAATTCAAATTTAACATTATAACAGACCTACCTTTTTTCCTACTCAATTACAATGTACACTCGACACCTACACTAAATAGCATCGAAACATTGAACAATCCTATAACTTTCAGCTAGGTACTATATACGTCAGTATAATATATATATATATTGCGTCATAATTCCTTAGGGTATTTACGAATAGGTATTATAATATGAATACTAAGGTATTTTGGGTACAATGTGCAAGCTCTATAAACTTCAAAAGTGTATGTATCAATGTCACACAGTTGAATATTTATATTTTATTGTTATACGTACAATAGAAATGTAATAACTGCGATAGTGTATGTTTTAAAGGTTAACTTAACATATTTTTTGTACCAAGTAATTATTTAGATTTCTTTGCTTTAGGTTCAATTATTTTATGTTTCTTTTTTAATTTTTATTCCGACAAATCACGAACGGAACATATTTTGTCCGTTTCCGATAGGAACGTAGTTGTACGCATAGTAAACAATGGTTTGTACCGTTATAATCACATTTTTTCTCATAGAGAAATATCAGTCATTTCAACCATAGTATTTTGCGCTCCGATACAAATACTTTGCTGAATGAAGACGCATAATTTTGCCTTTAGTGTCGTCACTTCAGTATTTAAATTTTACAAAAATGTTAATATTTAAAATAAAAAAATAAAAATATTTTGTACAAAATACATAAGTAATACCACTATTATGTAGGTACAATTACTATATACCTATATCATATATTAGGTACGTGATAGTAAGACACAAAAATAATGAATAAATAGGAAGTGACAACACGTAATTATAACTTACTTAATAGGTGTTCATTGTTGTATTATTATTATTTTTAAGTTTTAACTGACGAATAAGTATAGGTAGTTGTATTTTTTTATAATTTATGGTTTCTTCTACACCTACAGGCCAGAATGTACGTTATTGTTAGACGAAGTACCTATATATATATATATAACGCATAACCAGTGGCGTATTTAGGAATTTCAGGGTAGGGGCAACACATATTTTGGCGCCCTTCCCCCCCCCCACAGTCAAAAAAATAAAAATATTGTTACTAACTATTATTATTTATTAAAACATCTATTAACTACTAGGTATTCATTATAAATATAAAATTCAAAACATTTTCTTCCTTGATTCAGATGTAGCAAAATCATTAATTATTTTTTCATAATCTAATGAAGTAGTTATTTCAGCTTCAATTGCTAACACCGCTAATGCCGAGCAGCGGTCTTGTGCCATTGTAGACCGCAAATAGTTTTTTATTCTTTTTAGTGTGGAAAAAGAACGCTCTGCACTACAATTTGTAGATGGTGTACACAAGAAAATACGTAAAGCTACTTCAACATAGGGATAAACACTAGTAAAATCATGTTCTCTTATAAACTGTAACATCTGTATTGTTGTAAGCTTAACATCAATGTTTTTTATATGACCTTGAAATTGTACACACTCATTTACAAAACATGTTGCTAAATCATTTGGGTAAGTTTTTTGCAATACTTCAGCATCTTCTCTTACTTTTGCTGGAGTAATTTCATGTAACTTAAAAAAGAAAAAAAAATTTTTCACCAATTCATCATAAGCTAGTTTCCTTTTTTTCAATTCATATGACAGCTTGTCAAGTATAACATAATAAGTGTTTATGATCAAATAGTCTCTTTCTGAAAATAATATTTCATTATCGTTGTTTTCATCAATGTGTATTTTCCTTTTTCTTTTCCGTTTATTATGGTCATTGTAATCCTTTATTCCAGATTTTGTTATGGCAATATCTTCTAATATCTTGAAGGAATCTTCGTTTCTTAAAGATTCAACATAATGAATTAAGGATTGATATAGTTCAACAACTGTAATTAAATCTATGTCAACAGACTGTAGCTTTTTACTAGTTTTATTTACACGGTCTAAAATGTTTGTCCAAAAAATTGTCATAAATACTGTTTCAAGGCGGTTGAGTTTCTTAAGTAAGCCAACAGCTTCACATTTTGTTGAAGGCTTTTCATTTCTATTATTTGAAATTTTCTGTAGAGCATGTACTATATTATTCCAATTTTTGGATAAGGAATGACAAGCATCATCACGGGCTGACCAACGGGTTGCTGAAAGACATTTTACGGTTCCTTTTAATTCAGACCATCTATGCGTGGAAGCTGTAAAAAAGTTGTATATATTTTGAATAATATCAAAAAATTCGCAAGCTTCACGACAGGCACTGGCTGCACATGTCCCTACTAAATTCAAGGAATGAGCAGCACAGGGGACAAAATTGGCTAATGGATTTATTTCTTTAATTCTGGCTTGTAAGCCACTATATGCACCAGCCATATTACTTGCATTATCATAAGATTGTGCACGTAAAAATGCTGGATCCAGATCATAAAGAGATAATGTAGTCATAACTTCATCAGTAAGTTCTTCAGATTTATGTCCACTATTAGGCAAAAATCACATAAACCGTTCAATAGGTGTTCCGTTATTTTTAACATACCGCACCACGAATGATAGCTGATCAACATGCGATACGTCTGGCGTTGAATCCACTATTATTGAGAAGTATTTTGCTTTTTGAATTTCTTCAACTATAACTGCAAGAACCTGATCAGCCATTACAGTTATGAACTGTTCAAAAATATTAAATGATAAATAGGATGTAAAGCCTTTTCCTTTGTTGCCAAATTTTTCTATATGTGAAGCTAGAAAAGGGTCAAATAAGGCAATTAGCTCCAAGGACATTAAAAAATTACCATTTTGATTACAACCAAATTTATCAGTTTTGCCTCTAAATGCTAATCCTCTAGATGACAGTGTCTTGACTACAGCAACAACTCTCCTTAATACATTTTTCCAGTAGTTTTTTTCCTTTTCTATTTGTGATATTAAAGCACTATCAATTCTTTGAACTACTTTTCCTCTATCTTTCATAGTTAAGACATTAGTTTTGTGAGTTTGAGAATTTTCATGTGAAGTAATTCTTTTCTCTGCATGCTTCCAATCACTAAATCCTACAGTTGAAAACATAGATGTCGAACCAAATAATTTACATGGAGCACAGAATAATGACCCAGTACTTTCAGAGTACACTAAGTAATTTCTCTTAACTTTTTCACCATTAAGAAGGACCATATAAAATAATTTTGATGAGCAATATCGTGAATGTACTTTAAGAACTCCACGGATAACATTTTTACTTGTTCTTTTTGACTTGGTGAAGTTAATAGTTTCAATATTTTGAGATATTCCATTGACTGATATGTAATTTCTTGTTGTATCATCAACACACCAGTATGCCGGATCATTACTTAAAAAAACATATTATTTAAATTAATTATAAGTTATAACGATAAAAGTATTCAGTTTAAAAAATATATAAAGAGAGAATAACTAGTAACTACCTGGGTGATATCAAATTTCTGGTAATATTGTCAACATGATTGTCTTTCAAATCAACAGAATCAACAGAGCAACACTTTTCATTAAAATTAACAGTATCAATTTCACTAGTTTCAATAATGTTATTTCTTTCATTCAAATCAACAGAGTAATGTTTTTCATTTAAATCCACATTAGGCACATTATCAATATTATTAGTTACAATAATTGTATTTCTTTTATAATCTGAAAAAAAATAATATTCATATTGTTAAATTATATAGGTATAGTAAATAGTTACATACCTAGTTATATTTATATTTAGTAGTATTTTAATTTACAGAATATTTAGACCATAGGTTAACTTAAGTATAATTATAATTTATTATGTGAATAAATAATAACTTGTAATGATGATTGTATTTATATGTATTTAAAAAAGTACTTTTCAATTAAATTTTACTTTTTATTAGTTGGTTGGCCAATATAAATGTTATATTTATTAATTTAAAATTGCAATGTTACATTCAACAAGGGAGGTATTTTTGTACCAGTTATGGCTTATGAATGAAACAAATAATATAAATAAAATAGAAAATCTTTTAAAATAAATTTGTGACAACAGACAAATCATTTGTATGATTTTTTTAAAGAATTTGCATAAGAATACTTATTTGATTTTCAAATACAAATTCATAATATGTCCAAGACTGTATTTAAAATATATAATTCAAAAAAGCACTTAAAATGTATACTAAATACTATAAAAGTATTTAAATACATTTTTTCAAATACTTTACATGACTAATATATAATTATATAATATAGGTATTTTGCAATATTTAGCAATATTTTAACTAAAATATTCAGTGTACCAATAAAATATAGATAATAAGTAGGGCCTGGGTTTCAATGCAAAGTTCATATTTTTTTTGTTGAAAACATACACAATGCTTTCTAAGTACATAATTTGTTTCATGTAACGAGGGTTTGAAAGCTACAAATTTTATTTTGCATTTTTTTTGCATATTTCGACGTTTTTTCATTTTTAGCATTATTGGGTTATTTTGTTGGTTTTTAATGCATATTTGTTCAATATAGATATAAAATTCAGCCTATTCAAAATATTATCTAAAGATAAATTATTTTCTTCATGTTAATATTTTACATAAATTTTAATATATATTTTGGTATGTTTAGGATGAATAATATTTCCTCAAAACATCCAAAACATAGGTATGCGTGTCAACATCGTACCTAGTCAATATTTTAATTTTCTTTTAAATAAATAATAATTATATCTCATTTATAAATTACAATTTGTTTAAAAAAAAGACTATGTCATTTTTAAGGTAATTTTTGAGGTAAAATGCATTTTTGGCTATTTTTTAGAGCATATTTGTATGGTTTTAAGTGCATTTAAATTCGGGCCCTAATAATAAGTATAATTTATTATTAATGTTCATTTAGCTGTTTGAATAGACTAAAATCATTTTTTTTTTTTTTTTTAAGTGGATCTTTTTAAAATGAATACATTAATGTGTTACATAATTGCATAGTTGCATGCAAGAATATTAGAAGAACAAAATTAAAAATGAATTAAAAATATTTGGCAGCGTGTTTGCTATTAAAATTTTTTATAGATATTACTATATTAGTTACTAGTTTTTACAAAGTACTAAATACTAAGTACCTAGGTAGTAAATATATAATAAGTACTAAGTACTAAGTACTAACCTGTGATAGCGTTGGATTGCGCACTTTGCGAAAAAAATGTATTTATTTTGGCTGTTTTTTTTATGACAGAAGCATACTTTTCAGCCTTTACTGCGGCCTTCCTCTTATATCCTGATCCGCTAAGTCTTGATCGGATAGGACCCATGACTTTAACGAAATTTTTTTAGTGGGTAATAAATTGCCTACAATAGGTATACCGTATACGATCTATATGAGACCAAACTACCAAAGGCACTCCGAGATTCGACTATTCGAGGCAATCCGGTTTACACTGTTTATTGTTTACAGCTCTCAGTTGTGTCGGTACTCGATAACAGACAACAATAATATTAATAGCTTGATATTAATAAGTTCGCTGTTAGTAAAATAGTAACTATCGTTGTGTGCGTGAGATACTGATATGCCTACATGGTCTAGAGCTCTAGACGTCTATTTTAATCGGTATAATCCTATAATGTCATATTGGGTTATTATTATTAACATCTATTTTTAATATTTATCGCCGTAACAATATTATTATGAATCAATTGGTCACTGGTGGGCGGTGACCCCGCGCCATGGTGAAACTGTAAATAGGCAAGTTGTACTGATATTATAAAAATAATATGATGTGAGCAGGGAGGGGGATGTGTAAATATTTACTGAAAAAATATTAATTAATTGAAATCAGCGTGTAAACTATGAAGTACGAAATAAAAATTTGCCGCCCCTCTAAATCTTTAAAAATTTGCCGCTCTGGGCAACGGGACCCATAGCCCCTACCTAAATACGCCCCTG